GTTAGGTATGTACACTAGATAGGTGCTATCGGATGTTGTGGGGGTGTTCCTTTGCAAGCCGTTTTACAGGTTAGGTACGTACAGTTGACTGCGAAATAATGTTCCATTTTTCACAAGCATTAGTTGCTTGGCATTGTAGGCTGTGTCGCATTACGCACAGGCTGAGTGACACAATTGAATGTTGTGACCCCCACCCTAAACATAGCCCCTCTTTATTGCTGGATAATCGGCACAGCTTGACGTTCCAGGCAAGTGACAGATGCAAGAAGTGGAACATCATTCATTACGTAGTCAACTGTGCATTATTTTTGTTCTAGTCAAAGCTCCTTAGGTTTCATTGTTTGCAAGAACATGACAAAATTTCGTCCCTTTCGGACGCTGTGGAAGGAGCTATTGTTCCAAATGCCTCAAATAAATCCTCACGCGATACCCTTCCGAAAAAGTGTCCAGATTTTAAAAATCGGATTTCGATTCCTTACGCGTTTCTGAGTGCAGTTTATTAGGTGCGATGCTCTTGTGTCGTGTCCCTGCAGCGTCCGACTGGACGGAGGGAAGGCATGTGAAATGTCATAAGCGTTACGCACCACTAGAGGCTGTACCGGGACTCACTGATAGAGGGGTACCATATAGGGGAATCCGGTGATCGAAGGAGTCGCCCGTCTTTCACGCTGCGTGTTTCATAGTGTGCGATAGCCAATGAGGTGCGCTGCGCTTGGGTAAAGGAGAATTCACATCGATTTACATAGAGCGCTGCGAGGGGGCCTTGTCCCCAAATGCCCCGCCCTGGATCCACCAGTGCCTTGTAATATTTGATATGTGTTGTGTCTTTTGATAATATGTCTTGTATCTTTGATAAGCTTCATTACAGATCACTTTCCATACCCAGTCAAACTTCCCCGTCATCATAATACAAAATGCCGCGTAAGTCAAGATAGTACATACCGTTCTTGGAAAATTCCTCAGGATGTAGTTCATGGCTGTAGAAATTTACAGCGCTGAATGTCGTTTTCACTCAAATTTGTAAGCTGCGAATGTGAATCGGCAGTCCGAACAGCGGACGCCAAATTTTGCTAGTACTTCCATTTTGCTTTAATGCGTCAATTCCTTAACAGAAATTGTGACCTCTCTAAAATTTCGTGTGGACGAAGAACAATGAAACAAATGCAACAAAAATGAAAAGCAACAATAAAAAATCGCCGACTAAATCATGGCAAATTTCCGATGCATTCAAAAATATTTTGTCACCAAATTTTCATGTCAAATAATATATTTTGCCACCAATAACACGTGCCTCACTGTGAAGCACGACTCCTGTCTAATTGAGTCGATGGGTCAGAGCGCAGGGCCAGAGCAGGGATGGGCCCAGGGAGTCATGACTCCACGATCTATTCCTCTGCAGGGATGTAGAGCGGCCACGTCAGCAGGTGCATCCCTGAGCCCTGACAGCGGACTGCACGGTACTCTGGTATTGAACTATTTTTTTTCTTTTTTATGGGTTTAGAACCTTCGTTCTGCCGAGAACTTTGCAGAGCCGGAAAGATAATTGTAATAGGAGTATTATTGGTCTGAATGGGCACCCTGGTGCTCCAACAGGGCTGAGCCATCCAATTCGACAGGCAACTCAGTCCCCTGACGGTCAACGCACCCTGCTACGGGCCTGCTTCTGGAGTGGAGCTACCCATGTGGGATAAAGGCGACCGTCCAGTCCGGATCAGCGGATTGGTGGTGTGGCGGAAAGAATTTGAATGCTCTGAGGATGGAAATTAATGGAACGGTGTGTATTTCACGAAGGTGCCTAATTATGGCACTTTATTGGGTTCATCTGAGCTTGGGAGTTAGGCGTGTTTCTAGAGCGAATCACATTTCAAGCGCGTGATTCTTATGAAACAAATTTACAATGAGTCTCAAATATCCCTATTGGAAAACTGTTTCGATATGATTTTCTTCTGTGTTGACGTTGATTGGAGTTTGCATTCAGGGACCGCGGATTCCGGGGGGGGGGGGGCAGGGTGTGCAATTGCACACCCTGAATATCCCGAGGGTTTGCAAACAAAAAGTGGGGTGGGTCCATTGAAAGACGCAAAACTTTGGGGAAACAAACGCAGAAAATACCGGTGCGAGCGACTTAAGCGAGTGTCATTTGAGCGAACGTCATTTGAGCGAACCATTTTCAGCGATTGGCAACTTAGCGAATATCAAATTGAGCGATTATCAAATATAGCGATTATCAATTTAAGCGAAAGCTATGTTTCAGCGACATCTTTTTCGTCGACTACAGTTTGAGCGACTGTCATTTCAGCGAAACACTTCATCGTCCCGTAACGGTGCATTTTTCTTTCTTTTTTCTTTTGCGAGCGTTCGTACAACGAATGTTTCCGGAACTTTTCATGGTTATCCGGAACTGGATGGCGGATGTCACGTTCAAAGTTCAGACATTAAGCTCCAAATTTAATGCCACATTTCTCAAAAATTTCAGCGGTTCGATTTCACCCCCCTCCCTCTCTGCTGTTTGCCAATAATGATGACCAAACGTTTGTTCAGAGATTCATATTGCTTGTGCTGTTTTTGCGAAATTCCCCCGCTTGAATTTGGATCAGTTCCCCATGTTGTAAAATTTGTTCTTGTCCCAAGCAACGTACGAATTTCCAGATATTTGGGTTAGGTCCCTGAAACATAGACTGGATCCCCCTGTGCCATCCCTCGAGTTTATTATTGGTCCTTGACATTCCTTCCATCGTCATATCTCTCACGTTCCACATTTCCAGATCAAAGTTGCAGAATGAGGCCAGATATTTTTTGTGATTTCCATGCTTAGAAGCAAATTTTTAATTTGCCGCGCGCAGCTTGAAGCATGACACACACCAAGCGGGTATTCCAAGGGCAAGAATTCCCGAAAAATAGCAAATGATTGACTTCCGTCGCGTTCGGTTTCGCTGTACCTAACTGTGTTCGCTCAATTGGTCCCCCATTGACCTGCATATATTCGCTCAATCTGGTTTCGCTGATTCTGGTCCTCGCTTAAGTTGATAATCGCTGTGATTGAATTCGCCGACTTGACAATCGCTGAAAAAGTCAATCGCTTAAATTGATAATCGCTGAAAAGGCTTCGCTCAAATGTCGTTCGCTGAAATGACGCTCGCTCAGGTGTCGCAGAACCAGAAAATACATAAGTTTACGCATAATCGTCTTTCCGGTTCTCAATGAACGTTCTCCAAACGTAATGAAAGGCAGCTATTGGCTGTTGCCCATCGTTTGCTCTACTTCAACGTATCAATCAACGTATAGGTGACGCGGACAGCCGGATCAAATTTCTCTCGTGCACATTTTCGTTTCCGAAACTGACACAAGCACTTCTGAGATTCGCTACCTAACGAGCTCGCCGCCTGGGACCAGGTATATGATTCGTTTCTTGGGTCTAATTGGATATCGTCAGCAGTAGCACAAGCGACCGGAGTTCCGCGAACAGCCACCGCACAGTGGAGTGGCAAGCCAGCCAACAGGTAAAAATCTGCTTTATCGTCCCGTTTTGGTTGTGGTGTCAGACGGCGCTTGACGGTCGTTAATGCAATAGCACTATACAGTGTCAAGAGTACCGGAGGCAGCCGGCACTGTTCCCTCGTTTCCATCCTCAGGATACTGAAAACCTTCTCCTCCACGCCGCAACCCCCACTCCGAGCTGGACAGGCACCTTTATCTCATGCGGGCTGCTCCCGAGGAAGCGCACCCCGTAGCCGGGTGCAGAGAGTTCTTGGGGGGGCTGGGTGGCCTGTCCATTCGGACGGACTCAGCCCCGGCGACTCTCTAGGGTGTCTGCCCAGCCCAATGTCTCCCCCTTATTCCTTTCATCCTTCCGGCTCTGAAATGGTCTTGTCAGACCGAAAGGGCCTAACCCAACAAAAAAGGAGGCAGCAGCAGAGGCGACTGAATGGCACATCGGATCTGAAATTGTCTGGGTTGATGTCCAGTGGGTGTTCATAATACTAGTGACCAGTGGCGGATCCAGGGGGAGGGCAAAATGGGCATTTGCCCCTCCCAAACGGCATAATTTTAACATTACGCCTATGGACGAGGCATGGAAAGAATCGATAAATTGTTATGGTTTGCCCCCCCCCCAAAAAAAAACTCTGAGCTGGATCCCCACTGCTAGTGACTGAGCATGCGCTAGCCGTCGTAAATTTGGCCACGACTCAGACTTGATCGATGAACTTGATTGCTTCAGCTTTATGTCATTGGTCGTCATTATGTCATTTGTTGCGCTTCTCTTATCGAGATATATGTGACAGAGAGATGGATAAAATTGAGTATATTTATTACGCATGTAGGTACTACACTGTAAAAAAATGTTAACTAACTTCCGTGTTATCATGGCAAATCTCACTAACCTAAAGCGTGTAAAGTTTACACGCATCTACTGGCCAAACGTGTTTTATATAACACGCTTTTAAGAAAGAACGTGTTATGAAACTAAGACATTAGTTTTCGACGTGGTGTTGACCTATATTGTTCGCAATATTTACGATTCATATGGTAAATCATTACGGACGACTATATTCGTCCAAGTCCATAAAGATCTCGTAGTTGATAGTGAAATGATAACATAGTGCGTATCTATCCTTCGGATCAATTTTGTAATACATGACTGACCATGGGAAATGTTTACATCTCTGACATCAAGATTTGGGCAGCGTCTTAACCACAGTTTTTTTTTTTTCATTCGAGTCATCTACTGATCAGAATCAGTCGTACTGAAAGGACTGCCTTGAAGCCTAGTCACGCTGATGTAGTGCTGAGTGCGCTGACACAGCGCTGACTCGACTGACACAGCGGTCAGCGCTGACTGACACATCCTGACACTTGGCGACACGGTCGATACCTGACACACTTAGGACCAGACTCGTTATGTGACCTACCTACTTTATCAATAAACTATGTGCTCCGTAAGGGAGCTTCCATACTGTTGCTTGCAGATCGTCGTATAGATTAGCGTTATGGCATCGCAATATTCTATAGTACCTACCGTCATTAAGTAAAACGGCGTCATGCAAAACGGTTACCCGATATCGGCCTTGACAGCTTACCGTAAAATGCTACACAGCATACAACATGATATATTATACCGTATCTTACCGTACTATATTATTGCAATTAGAATTCATACCAATGCGCTCATAAGATCCTGCTCCGAAAAAAGACACAGCGATACAGCGCTGGTCAAACAATAACAGTCACAAAACGGTATAATGCTGCCTACTGCAGCCTTTTGATCAATTCATAGAGCAATGAATTATCATTGCAAACCGACCGTTGAGAGCTTTCGCGTGCTGGCTCTTTACGCGGTACGATATTGTCGCTACACCACCCTAAAGCGTTGCCGTGGAGGGCACAGCTCCCGAAAAACGCCCGATTTGACAAAACGAAGTCTCGTCGTTTCCGCACGTGTGGCAACAGGTGCTACTGATCCCCACCCTGCCCGCGGCGGAACATGACATGCACGTTTGGAGACAGGCGAACAATACAGGGCTGACTTGGCTTGTCGTCGACTTCACACTTGTGCGACGATCCCCCTCCCTCCCCAAGTGTGTCTTCCGGTCCTGAAAGGACCAGACACATCAACTACAACACCCTACAGTGAGGAACAACGGCACTCAATAAGCACGAACCGGAACAAGAACACATCAAACAGTACATGCTACCATATCCGCACGCATGACCCCAAACTATCAATTCACCACACCACATGGTGCCTCGCACAGGATGACTTTTTACAACAGCTTCGTCACGAAGTTTCCAGCCGGAGTCAGGCAAAGACTAAGCGTGAGGCACGGGTGGTAGCAGCATCGCGTGCCCGTTGGACACGCGCCATCGTTGGAGCATGGTCGCAGGCTGGCAGGGTCGACCCCGGAGAGAAGAACGGTACGAGCGGGGCAGCTAGCGGACGGGATGAGCGGACACCGGCCGCCAGAACCGCTAACTGTGGAAAAACAGGGCGGGGCAAAGTGAAGAAGAGAGAGATGGAGAGATAGAGAGAGGGGAGGAGAGAGGGAGATAGATGGGGAGAAGAGAGAGGCGGTAGAGAAAGGGGAGAGAGAGAGAGAGAGAGAGAGAGAGAGAGAGAGAGAGAGAGAGAGAGAGAGAGAGAGAGAGAGAGAGAGAGAGAGAGAGAGAGAGAGAGAGAGAATGAGAGGTGGAGGGAGGGGGTGGAGAGACCATTTTTAGAAGCTTAGATAAAAAGTGTTGTATTGTTTGTACGCTTTCGATCCAGGCTACGTGGTATAGTGCTATAGGGCTGCCCTGACTTTTTTTTATCAATTGATAAAAGAACACTATGGAAGACAAGAGAGCCAAAGGTTGACATACTTAGCCTTTAATTTAATTAGGATCTGGTGAGTACAGAGGCATTTCAGGGTCAGGTGAGGTGAGGTTACTGGTCTATGACGGCATACTATTCATCCGTTATAATTTCAGAACATTTCATTCTCGTGTAGGTTTTCCCATTTCACATGTTTTCATATGCTTCGTAATATGTTTTTCACGGTCATTCATGTCGTATAGTATACACATCCATTACTCGCGTCTCCATGCTAATGGCTGAAACAGACTCTTTCCGCAGTCAGGAAATCGCATGCGAGAGCCTATTCAGGAAGCACGCTCGCATCAATCGCACGCACCTCCCGGATGCGATTGATGCAGGAATAATTATAATGTATTTGAATAGGCTCTCGCATGCAATCTCCTGAACGCGGAAATTCTCGAACGCGTCATGTCTCCAGTGCTGGGCGGTGCGGGTGGCGGCGCGGCCTGTCTGGAGCGCCTGGGAGGTAGCCTGGAGTTCTCCCCGGCTGGGCCCTAACCCCCCCCCCCGCCCCCGCCCTCCCGTGGCCGAGACGATATAGACGTGTGTCACCGTTGTTCCAGCCTCGCCAGGCGGGCCACGACACACAATACCTATAGAATCTAATACTAACCGCTTTACGACTAGCTATCTAGCGAATGCACCAAATTTGACCATCTGCTCCAAATCTCTTTTACAACAAATATCTTCCTAGCATGAGTTTGTTTAGTGCTTTGAAAATAATGCCTGATAATTTGAAAAGCAAGAATCAAAGCAACTGTCTAGCCTAATCTATGTAATAACTTCTAAGAAACACAAGCCGTTTTCACGACGGGCTACCTGGCGAATGCACCTAATTCTCACCAAATCTGCACCTAATCTCTTTGATACCAAATATCTTCATCGAATGAAGTTATTTCAGTATTTTAATCGATGGCAATGTCTGATAATATGACAAGGCAGGTATGTAAGCACTAATTGCAACCCTACTTGATAGCTATGCTAAGAAATACCGTCAACTTAACTTGACCAAATCCTCAACAAATCAACACCTAATCTCAACCAAATGTGTACCAGATGGCTGTCGTGAAAACGGCTACATTAAACCTAACTTGACCAAATCTGCACCAAACCTCCACCAATGGGAACCTACGGTGTACCAGATAACCGTCATGAAAACGGCTATTGTGTGTCATTCGGCATTCCTTGTAGTATTTCCTGAGTGTTGTTGTGATATGTAAATAAATGGCAAAAACTTGCGTCTCCATGTCGCTTGCGACATCCCTAGCGATGAAGCTTCTCTTTCTCTCAGTCACCATGTCCTCTGCAGTATGCATGTTCAGATGAGCTCATCCTGCAGGTTTGTTGCATTTATAAGCATATAAAAGCCTCACTTCTGGTGAGAGGCCACCACACTTCATGTCTTACGACTGTCTTACGACACCAACATGCATTATGTATGAGTTCCTGTTGGATGGGATGAGATCACTGTCCAGGTGTTTGTTCCGTTTCAGTGGCCATTTCACCCATTTCGGTCACGAATAGATGCTGATCGCGCTGCAAACTAAACGTAAATTATCCCTTCTGCTCTCCACCGGAAATATTTCCCTCTCCCCTTCACCTTCTCTGCCGCGCCAAAGGACAGACACGATTCACGAGCCAACGGTGCACTGCTGGGTGAGGAACGGCACGCGATTAGCCATTGCAGGAGATCAGCGAGAGAGATTGGGTTGCGACAGCTTGCAATTGGTTTGTTGCTGATTACTTCAACTCCCTCGCCGGCCGAGGGGGGGGCGGGTGCCGCCCCCCCCCCACCATAGGGTTTTTTCGCGATAGCTCCGAACACGCCGGCGATAGAGAGCTGAAACTTGGCATACCTGACCTTTGATTCAAGCCGGATCTTTTGACACCAACCGCATTTTTGGGTCAGGTCAGGTCACTGACCTATGACGTCATAAGTGAACCTCTGCACGGTCTTCAGATGTCGCAACTTCGCAACGCCCTCACTGCCAGAGGAGATGTCACAGGGAAATGAAACTTGCAGGATCTAGTATCCATTATGAGTCGCACAATTTGTATATCTCGGATTTTTCCTAAAGGTCATATTAGGTCAGGTCATTTTCGTGACCTCACCATTATAAGTCAATGGGGAAAAATGAAAACTGCTATTCTGGCGCCGGGAACGATCTCCAACTATCTCAAGCACACATAATCGTGATTTGATGCACTCCTTGCGAGGTTAGATGCGTCACTTTTGCAATTTTGACCTTGCGTAAGGTCATTTATGACGTCATCAAGGTCATATTAGTTTTTCGTCAATAACTCTTGATCAAATTGAGCTAGCGAGTCGCGAAAGCCACCAATGGACTCAGGAAGGCCTGCCGAATCGAATGCTATGCGACATGACCTCTTTCGACCAGCTTCGTGGCCTAGGGGTGCTGACCTGACCTTGACCTGAGGTCAACACCCCAAGTTGACCTGACTCGGACAAAAAGTATATCGTTCGACGCGCCTGAGCGAGGCGAACACGATGCTGCCAAAATCGTCGCTCTGCGGCCGTTTTTTGCGAAGTTATTCACCAAAAACTGAACCGTCCCTTGGGCTGACCTGACCTCAGAGGTCACCGGTTAACCTAGGACCTTAAAATCGGGTACCAATCTCTGCGTCTCGTAACGGCGCACACGCTCGTTTTTTCCGCGACGCGCTAGCTCCACCAGGGGCGAAACGGCGAGGGGTGTCGTACCCGCCCCCCCCCCCCTCGGCCGGCGCATATGTAGAAAACCAATAGGTCCGGCGAGGGTTAAAACGAAATATCTTTTTGGCACTGTTCCATCAACGTGATGTGAATGTGATTGTGTCAGCTAGAGTATCAGTATTTTTTTTTATGATTTACTATAAACAAAACGTCGCCTTCCGCAGCCGAGACGGGACTACAGTCAGTTGGAGTTTGGTGTCTGCTTTAGTACAGGGGTGGACTTCGGTGACTTTTCTAAGTTCACCGTGAATGTTGAAATACAAGGACATTAATAGTCCATACTCCATACACGCTCATTGAGGACATATTGATCTTAGGCAGTTCCTCTAGTTTGTCTGGGAGATCAGGTATATTTTTTTTCAATTTTCAATAGAAAAACAATCCAAACGAATAGTGCTTTTAACTACTTAACATAAGCCTCTGGATGTAGTGTTATTCCCATGTGATAAGCGCAGGGGCGTAACTTTGTATACTTTTGGGGAGGCAGGTGCCCCCCCAACTTGAAATTTTGCCACCCCAACATTCCGTTTGCCCCCCCAACCTTGGTGGGCGCCCCCAGGCCCGAAAGGCGCCCTCACGGGCCAGCGGCGTCATAGGAGCGCGTGCGCCATCTTTCAAGGGGGCGCCATCGCCTATATGGAAATGGGATGCGTGAGAGGGGAACCTCTGAGGCCGTGGGGGCGCCTGCATGCGAAAGAGGGGCGCCCATGAAGTCCTCAGGGGCGCCTCAATGCAAAACACGGGCGCCTGAGATGGCCACAGGGGCGCCTGCATGCGAGAGAGGGGCACCTTATTGGCCTCTGAGGCCCTTCGGGGTGCCTCTGAGGTCTATAGTATAGGGGGCGCCCACATGAAAAAGGGGCGCCCATTAAGGCCATAATGGCGCCCCAATACGAAAGAGGGGAGACTGCATGCCAAATGGGGGCGCCTCCGAGGCCCATAGAAAGAGGAGCTCCAGTTGAAGCCCAAAGGGGCGCCTCAATGGGAATTAGAGACGCCTGTGAGGTCTATAGGGGCACCTCTGATGCCCATGTCGAGAGAGTCGTCAGTCGTTTGTGTAACGTTCCTCAGGGATGGTGCGCCGCTTGCGGCAAGTAAAAACTTAGCTAAATAGCGTGCCCCATTGGTTAAAAAGCGCCCCTCGAGCCAAAGTGGTGCCCCTCTGACAACACGCACGTCTTATGTCATCTGTTTTGCTAATAACTAATGCCCCCGCATGCAGAGCGGCGCCCCATCCGTTTATCAATGTGACCCTTCAGGTGGATGAAGCGCCCCTCTGGCCAATACCTTATCATCATTGTCGCTAGAACAGCGCCCCCAGTCCGTAGACTGCCCCATTGGCTCCTGAAGGCGCCCCTCGTGCCCGTTTTGGCGCCCCTCTGCACTGAGTAATGAAATGTATGTGGCCTACCAATTCTTAAGGGCGCTCCTTGAGTCATAATCATCGCTCCTCGGGGAGGGGGGGAGGCTAGAGGGCCTAGATACCATAGCATGCTATAGTGTGTTATGGCATCCCTGCTGCTAAAACGGCACACTTAGCTAGGTTAGCGCCTCAACGGTTCATACAAGCGCCCCTCGAGCCGAAGTTCGCGCTCCTCTGACTTACATAATTTCCTTGCTAAGTACGACGCCCCTCGCTGGGCATGGGGTGGCGCCCCACCAGTTTACCAACGCGCCCCTTTAGCCACATGAAGCGCTCCTCTGGTCAATGCGGTCAATACCTTATTTCATCACTGCAGCTAGAGCGGCGCCCCTATTTCGGTGGCTGTTCCATCGGTTCCTGAAGGCACCCCTCGAGACAGTTTGAAGGCCATCTGCAGTGAGTATTAAAATTGATGTGGTTAAGAATGGCGCCCTCTGCACGGTGTCGCACCGATTCTAAAGG